CCCTCCCTCCCTCCCTCCCTCCCTCCTTCCTTCCTTCCTTCCTTCCTCCTTCCATTCTTCCTTCCTTTCTTTCTTCCTTCCTTTCTTTTTCTTTCTTTCTTCTTCTTCTGAGAATATAATAAAATTACTGCGGTGCACCACACCTGTCTGTGCTCTATGCACCACCATATAGTTTGTGACCCAGGCAAGGGGATTAAAACACACAAAGACTCACAGACAGAGACACATGTCATCCTTGATGCCAAAATCCTTGAAACAGGAATTATTATGTACCAGAGCCACTTATATAGGGATCCTTAACTGATAACCACGCCCCAGCCAAACCCACCAGAAACCACTCTGCTGCCATCAACAACTCCTGAGGGTCTCATGCTCAAAGTAGCTGCAAACATTACAAAATGTTTACGAGAAATTTAGGATCTGGGGGTTTACTGCTCCCAACATCTCCCCCTTTTTTTCATATAACTAGACAAAAGAAGAGCAACTAACCACATGCAAATCCCACAAGAAATCCAACTGCTCTTATAAGCTGAAAAATGCCCTAGCGAACATGCTCATTCTATGGTCAATGTGGATGATATTAAATGTTGGTGCCAGCTACAAGAGAGTCACAGCAGCCATCTGGCTGATGACAATTTTAGCTGCCATGAAGGAGGCTGCAGCAGTGACAATAGCTGCCACCCGTGATGATCTTGAAATCTCTAGGATGGCTTGGCAGTTGTTGTTCAGCTTCTGCCTCCTTTGCAAATCCTACTGGTGTGCGCCACCACAACCGGCTAGGGCAGCAGGCAGGCTCAGAGACCTTCCGCAGCTACTTCTCAGGTGTGGTAGAAAAGCCTGCCGCTTGTGCTGCAGACTTTTGGGCGTGCAGAGCCTGGAACCACCACTGCCTTTCCCTTGCCTGCTGCTGCCTTCCATCTGCTGCATGCAGAGGGGCTGCCCAGCTGGATCTGTATGGCTCCACCTTGTCTCAGCTCCAGCATTTGTTGCTGTATTTGCTAATACTCCTGTCACCACCATGGCATACCCCAAGCTGGGTACTGACTGGGTGGGGGCAATGTGCCGTCTGCCACAGTCGCCTAGCAAAGCTCTGCTCCAGCTGCCCTCCGACCCCAGCCACTTTTGCTCTGGGTCCAAACTGGTGCATGGAGTGGAGTGGAACTTGGGAAAGCAGGCTTGCTGCTCCGGAACCACTGAAGGGGCCCCACTTAAACAATCTTTTAGGGAATTTGGGCGTCGTCAATCTGTCTGGTTGCTTCCTGCTGAGCGGGGGTGCTGCGTTCTGTGGGATATTTTACTACAATATTGTTGATTTAGGAGCGGCAGGGCTGAGTCCCCGGCACCTGGCCACCCACATGGCTAGGTTATGCCCCGAAATAATTACACGGAAACTGTATTCTTTCAAACACTGCCTGGCCCATTATCTGTAGCCTCTTATTGGCTAGCTCTTACATATTGTTCTAACCCATTTTTAATATTCTGTGTAGCCCACGAGCTGGCTTACCAGGGAGGATCTTAACCTGCGTCTGTCTGGAGCGGGAGAATCATGGCGACTCCTTCACTAAGCTTCTTTTTCCCAGAATTCTCTTCTGTCTACTCCGTCTACCTAATTTTTTGTCCTATGAGGGCCGAGGCAGTTTCTTTATTAATAAGAAATCACTCCCACATCAGTTCCCCTTTTTCTGTTTAAACAAAAAAGAAAGGCTTTAACTTTAACATAGTAAAATTACATATAAAAACAGTTATCAAGCAAGAATTACAGTTACAATATTTATATCTA